CATTTATCCCAACAATCATCTTGTCCCCTTGTACCATCGAGAGAATGCTTATGTTATCAACTTCAACGATCACCTTTAGACTTTCGGCCTCCCATGCCAAGGTCAAAGCCTGAAAGAGACTCTATAATTCAACTCATGTAATAGTACAAAAGCCAATTTTCATCGTAAGTCCACCCACTTATCTACCAAAATATCTCTGGCAACACCCCCCGCTCTCACCAGACCATTTTTCCTGTTAAAGCTCCTGTCCAAATTAATCTTCAACCACTCAACCGGAGGAGTTAAATTTAGTAGAATTTTACTCAACTTTTTTATTTTTCCTGGATAACAATAACTAATAGGAAGTGATAAATTGAGAGCAGTTTTTTTATGTTTAGAGCAAAATTTTATCAACTACCAATATTACCGATACTTAAAACATTAAAGAAATTAGTATATTTATTATAACCCCTTAATTTCTTCCTTTTTTTCCTTATTTAGACACGTTGACTTTATTTTGTAATAAAAATTTCATTTCTATAAAAAAGACAAGTTAACTTCAGTTTTGCCTTTAGTAATTTTTCTCTTTTTTTTTTAGTACGCAAAAATGAAAAATCATACAATCTATCCTTAATCCTTATTCTTTAAGCAAAAAAAATTGATCTCCATGACCTCTACATTGATCGGTAGACACAAAAAAATTTCAAAATCAGCAAACTTTTAACAATATTAATATGAACTATTCAACTTTAAAATTCAATTATCATCAATTGATTCTAATTTTAGATCCTCGGTCTTTTTAACAACAATAAGTACATGAACTTAAACACAAAAGTAATATTAAACCTGTTAAGTGAGAACTAATAGAAGATTTGCCTCATAAGTCTCAACTCAAAGGATGATGACCGTGAAAATCGGTACATGCCGAATCAAAGAACGTAAATTTAACTCAGGAAATATATTTTTGAAGAAATTGAAATTTCATTTGTTTGAGCGCCAAAAAATAATTAAGAAAAAATCTCTTTTGTTTAAACAATGATTATGCCAAAAAAAAAAAAGTGAGAAGAATATCGCCTGGGAGGTGAACGCGAATGGCCGAAAAAAGAAGGGGAAATTAGGGGAAAAAAAAGAATGGCCTAGAAAAAGAAGGGAGCAATTAAATGAAAATGAATCTGATTAGAGTAATGATATTCCACTTTTCTTTTAACTCTACTAACAAATCTACTTACATGGCAATCTAATTAGCTTATCCAAATCACTTTAGAATTTTATGATAAGATTTAATTAAAAAAGAAAAATTAAAATCCTTCGGAACTTAATGACTCTTCTCCTTTTTTTCTTTTCTTTTTTTTACTTCACAAACTCAACACAGTATCAAATCCTTTCCTTGCCTGCTCCTAATTCTTCCCATCAACCGCCAGCAGCTTCATCGGATGATCGAATTAGGATGATCAACAGCCAAGACGTTTTAAAATTAGGATGATCGAATCATGGTAACCAAATTTGATTCTGTTTAGTTGCATAGTTAGTAGCATAAATTTCAATAGACCTTTTTTAAGTTATCCTTCATTTCTAATAAAACAAACTAAAATCAAATAGTGCACAAAAAAAACATTTGGATAGATTTCTTAATCGATCCAAGCATAAAAAAAAGCCACTTTTAACAACTAGTAATAGTTGAAGGTTTATTACTTTTGACGGCCTAATAGATATGAAAGAAAAACATTTGACGGCCTAATAGATATGAAAGAAAAACAAAAAATTTTGAATGGAAGAATGGTGGATCGTAAATCCTTTAAATATGAGCCCCTTTCTACATCTAAACAATACTAATTTTATAAAGAAACGCTCCTGTCATCTAAACAATACTAAATTTTCTTTGTGCCAAACAATCAGAAGTAAAGGGCACAGACTCATCTTTTGGAGAAAAGAACCAAACAGAACCATAAAAACAAGAAATACTTGGTGCGATCTCTTGAGTCGTCTACAACCTCACACACAATAGCCCATAACTCTAATAAGATAAATAGTCCATTATCCATAACTCTCATAAAAAGAGATCATATTGCTCATTGAAATTTTGCCCGGTTTTGATTCATTTGTAAATTTAGTAGAATTTTTTATTTTTTATTTTTTATTTTTTTTGTTACAATAGAAAAGGCAACAATGTCGAGAATCAAATTAATACATTTCGAAGATATGTTACTTCCATTAAATCATGTTCTAACCATATGGTACAACACCCGATGGTGGAATTTGTAGCCATTTCACACTTCCCGGACCTTGTGTTGCTAGAGCCGCTAAGTAGTCAATTACAAAATTCGCTTCTAAACATATGTTTAACCTTAACTACCCAATCTCGGTTTAACAGATCACGAATCCTATTCACTACTCCTGCATTCATCTCAACAATCACCTTGTCCCCTTGTACCATCGAGATAATGCTCATGTTATCAACTTCAGTAATTACCTTTCGGCTTCCTGTCTCCCATGCCAAGGTCAAAACCTGAAACGGACCCCATAATTGAGCTCCTGTAATAGTATAAAAACCGATATTCATCGTAAATCCACCCACCTATCTACCAAAACAATCTCTGGCAACACTTCCCGCACTCGTCATACCATTTTCCCTGTTAAAGCTCCCGTCCGAATTAACCTTCAACCACTCAACTGGAAGAGTTAAATTTTAGTAGAATTTCACTCAACTTTTTTTTATTTTTCCTGGTTAACAATAACTAATGCGTGTTTTTCTATTTATTATTAGGAGATGTTTTCTATCTCAAAATAAAATTTAAATAAACGAACTATTTTGATCCGTGAAACATGAACATAACAAAATTTGTTGAATTGTTTTAATTTGGGAAAAGGAACTATTTTTCTTTTAAACATAAAAAACATTAAAGGGCACCTTCAAGGAATTCTACCAGGATTGTTTTTGGTTATCATAATGTGACGTCATTTGTTTCTCTTTACATCAATGACAGAATTGTGTTTGCATAACTGCATTTGATACTTATATATAAAAGATTCCACCAAGATGGGGATAATTAATTGGTTACGTGATCAATGGAAGACCTGGAGACGGTCCAATTAAACGATTTACTTTATATTTCTGGCAAATATGGCTACAAAACGAAACTTCACTACCATAATTACTACCTTTCAAAGTTGTATCATATATAATAATTGTTACTTTTACCCGACGAACTAAATAGACCTACATTATTATAAATTTTAAATGCTTGATTATTTCATCACGAAAAAACTAAGATTAAAAAATTAATTTGAATAATAATATTCATCTCACCATTTACATCGCCCTTACATTTCACAGTACATGACAATTACTTATTGGACAATGTATTGTTTATCCTATTATATCTAAAATTTAATGTGAATATTATATTTCTAAAGTTTTGAATAGAAATATCTAAAAAGTTTATAAATCTGATATAAATAATTAAAGGGGTTGGATTTTTCCATTCACCCAAATTAGTACTTGAAGCCACCTATTTTAAAGAATTCTCCTTTTGCCCCTGCCACTTGGACCGAACCGGACAAGTCATTTGGTCCGATTCTCGTGAGAACGGATAAATTATTAATTTTTATTTTAATATTAGTTTATTCGCAGTATCGTTACATGTTGAATACCTCATACTTTAAATATTATTAACAATATTTATACTTTAGTGCTTAAACTCTCGGTTTTATATTTACTTGAAAATAAACAAGAAATTAATTTTTACTAGAAAAAAAATTAAGATTATTTGTAAATTTAATTTATTTGAATTGATATTAAAATATAAATTTTGCTTTAATCATTATTTTAAAGATAATTTTTAGTTAAAATAATAATTATACATTTATAATGAAAAATAATAATTGTACTACAAAGATTGTAACAAATATGTGCAAATAGATTAACTATTTTTTGTACTACAAAAATTGGTGATACTTAATGTAACTCAAATAATAAATTATTAATAAATTTAATGATCTAAAAACTAGATTAACTAATTACAACAAAAAATCTAAAAATTAAAAAAAATAGCAATGAATCCGATTGATATTTTTTAATTTTTATACTTTTTTAAATGACAAATATTGCTATTTTTTAATTACAAAAAAAATTAAAAAAAAGGGCATGACCGGTCCGGTTCACCATATCAGACCGAACCGGGACCGGCCGAGCAATCCTCTCGTCCCGGGTTAACCCGGAACGGGCAAAGAACGCGTCCTCTTGTTCGCCCGAACGAACCAGGACGCATAATGAACGCGTTCGGATGAACAAGAAGACGCGTTCTTTGCCCGTCCCCGGTTAACCCGGGACGGGTGGACCGCCCAGTCGGTCATTTTTTTTAAAATTTTTTTATTTTCTTTCTAGTCAAATTATTTGATTTGAAAAAATTATAGGGGTAAAATGGTCTAATTTTAAAATATGTGACTTCAAGTAGTAAAGGTGGTGGTTTTGAAAATAAACACCTGTTAATTTTATACAATAATTAAATGACATGTAATGTGAGATATATTGATGATGAGGTAAATTAGGTGAATCACGTATAATTACTAACTAGCTCTCCTTCCCAATTTAATTTGAGTATCTTACTGTTGAAATTCATATAGTGCATACTGACTAGACGATTCAAAATGGGTGTGAAAGGCAAATTTTCCCAGGTGACTTGTTTCAATTTGAATTGAAAAAGAAAATGATAGCCAAAAAAGAAAGAAACAGAAGCCTAATTAATGACTTCTTAATCAATAGTTTAACTCTCTTTTATCTCTTATTATCCTGGAAAAAGAAAACAAAATTGAAATGTGTGTTCCTGTATCTAGAATTCTTAATTCAAAATTTAATTAACATAACTGGATTTTTTTCAATCTTAATTCTGATTTTGACCCGTTCCAAATTCCAGAAGATTAAATTCAGCACTCATATTGAATTTTAAACATTTTTACTTCAATCTTATTAATATTATTCAAAGGAAAAAAAAAAAAAAAAAACGATTCTCTGGAAAGGGACAGAAAAATCAGTCCACCAATTTTCACTTTTGTTTGGCATTATTTTAATATTATATAATAATATTCTCCAAACCGCTGAAAGCCTTCTACGCGAGTTCCAACGTGGCGTTTTCTTTCTCTCTCTCTTCAATTTCTGTTTCTCTCTCTAAAAGTCCTCTCCCCAAACTCATGAACACACAAGTTTGTACTTTTGTGCTGATTACCTAACTCTTATAAGCCCGCAGGCAAACGCTCTGTTGCTCGCCTGCTTATTTTCACTTCATTTCATCTTCTTCTGTTGTTATTTAGTATTTTATTTTTTTATTTTTTTTCTGGGTTTGCTTCAAAATCTTCACAAAGTTTTTGCTTCACCCTGAAACACTCAGCTCACAAAAAGAGCATTTCTTGGGCCTCTTTCTTCTTCAAAAATTTCTCTCTGAGCTCATTTTTCATTGGTTTGGTGTTTAGAATTAAAAGGGGTTTTTTTTTCTTCTTTGATTTTGGCTGTTTTGGGAGCTATGAAGAGAGAAAAGTTGGATATGTTTGTGTCTTTCAGTCGGCAGAAGTCGGTGCATATACTGTTTGCCCTCGCGATTTTTTACATGTTTCTGGTGTTTTACGAGGTCCCTTTTGTTTTCACAACTGTTTCTCAAGAGGTTCGTAATGGGATTGGAGGAGGGTCGTCGTCGTCGTTGAATTCGAAGTCTTTCTTGCTCGAGATAGACGAGAATTCAGGGAGAAAAGATGCCCCTGTTCGACCTCTGGATGTTCCTTTCCGGATTTCGGATGATTCTAAACCTGAGAGAAGGGTTCAAGAGTTTACACACCCATTAGCTAGCTTGAATTTCGATTTGAATGCAGAGAATTCCGTGGACGATGGGTTTGCCGAGATGTTCAAAACAGCTAAGGCGGCTTATTCAGTTGGGAGGAAAATTTGGGATAATTTGGAGGAATTGGCCGGAGCTGATTCGGATGGGATGGCCTCCAAAGTGAAACCGGCGACAAATGGGGCAGTTGATGAAGCCTGCCCGCATTATATTGCCATGGGAGGGGATGAATTTTCTGGTAAGAGGGGGAAGTTGATGGTTCTGCCATGTGGGTTGACACTAGGTTCGCATATAACCGTAGTTGCCAAGCCTAAATGGGCTCATGCTGAGCGTGAGACCAAGATTTCTTTGTTAAAAGAAGGTCAGCATATCATGGTTTCGCAGTTTTTTATGGAATTGCAAGGATTGAAGGCGGTTGATGGTGAGGAACCACCAAGGATTTTTCACTTTAATCCCAGATTGAAGGGAGATTGGAGTGGAAAGTCGGTGATTGAGATGAACACTTGTTATAGGCAGCAATGGGGTACACCTCAACGGTGTGAAGGCTGGCTATCAAAAGCCGAGGAGGAAGCTGGTGGGTAAATTTTAAAATTTTGAACTACTTTTCATGCTTGTCGATTGCAATTCATTCCTGAGTTTTGTGCTGTCATTTTACTTGGAAGATGGTTCCTTGTTTCTCTTTGATGTGGGATTTCTATGTGTTGACCTTGATGTTTCAGTGAGATCGGATAATGGTGGTTTAATTATAAATTTTTTTTTAACTAATATTTAGGCGTTCGAATTTTGAAAACACTATTCTGTTCCTTAGATGGCTACTCCAGCAACTTGGCAAAGGTTTAAAATCCTGGTACTTAATTTATGTTCAAATGTTCTGAACATGAGGATATTGATTGACCTATCAGTAAATCTTCCAGCATAGCATTTTCCAGTTAACTTGGCTTGGTCTTTTCCTGTATAATTAGCTTATGCAAGTGCTTCTTTTCTAGTTGACGGTCTGCCTAAGTGTGAAAAGTGGATTCGGGATGATGGTAATCAGACTGAGGAAGCAAAAGCAAATTGGTGGTTGAACCGGTTGATTGGCAGAACCAAAAAGGTGCCTCTAGATTGGCCATTCCCATTTGTAGAAGACAAGCTCTTTGTTTTAACTCTTAGTGCTGGTTTGGACGGTTATCATGTCCATGTTGACGGGAGGCATATAACTTCATTTCCCTACCGGACGGTATGTCACATCGTTAGTTTTGTGTATACAATCTTTATGGTGAATATATCTGTCTAAAGGTTTTCAATTGATCGATAGGGATTTGCACTTGAGGATGCTACAGGTTTGACTTTGAATGGGGACATTGATATCAGCTCTATAGTTGCAGCTTCATTGCCCACATCGCATCCTAGCTTCTCTCCACAAAGACATCTTAACATGTCAGCTGTATGGAAGGCACCACCTCTTCAAGATAAACCCGTTGATCTTTTCATTGGTATACTTTCTGCTGGAAACCATTTTGCTGAGCGCATGGCAATCAGGAAGTCCTGGATGCAAGATAGACTTATCAAATCATCAAAAGTTGTGGCCCGTTTCATGGTGGCACTGGTACGTAAAGCCAAAGCCGTGGTTTCTATTGAGTCCACATTATAGTGCTGCATTGTATTACTCAATTGCTAAAACCTACTCCATGTTTCTTTTATTTCAAACAGAACCCGAGAAAGGAAGTGATATTGGAGTTAAAGAGAGAAGCTGATTTCTTCGGTGATATAGTCATTATTCCATATATAGATCATTATGACCTTGTGGTGCTAAAAACTGTTGCCATTTGTGAGTACGGGGTAAGTAGCTTATTGTGGAAGAATAAGATATTAATTGGATATTGATGGCTATTTTAGTAATCGCATTGGATTGCATTTTACAGGTTCGCAAGGTAGCTGCGAAATATCTTTTGAAGTGCGATGATGATACATTTGTGAAGGTAGGTGCAGTTCTTAAGGAAGCAAATAAGATACCTCAAAATGAGAGTTTATATATGGGCAACATCAACTTCTACCATAAGCCCCTGCGGAGTGGTAAATGGGCTGTAACGTATAAGGTACTTTTCGGACACTGATACTCTCTTTGATTCTACTTGTGACTGTTAAGCAGTGTCTTATTTATTAGGGTTAATTTTAAGTTTTTTATTTCCAGCTTTTCCGCTATATCTTTTGTGCACCTTTGATGCATCTTCTTCTACCGAAAAGGTTTATGAAATTGCATAGATGGTTTGACTATCGTATATCGTAGACTATTGCTGTCGGAGTTCACGAAGTCTTTGAAACAAATAGAGGGGAAGCCATCTCCAATGTACCCGACATAGCTTTAATTTTAAATGTTAGTATAATCTGGATTAGTTGAATGTTGGTTTGTGCTTTTTTCAAGGGGCAGCATGGGTTGGGTTGGCTGGTTCTGGTATTGGGGAAAGATTGTCGAAGGGTCTCCCGATCTGCTAGTTCCTATGAGAAAAAAGAAACGCAGAAATTCGAATTTTTTGAACATATCATAAAAACGCACAAAAAAAAAAAAAGAGGGTGCTTGTTTCCATATTTGATAATTGTATATTCTTCTTGGAAATTTGGTGGTCGATTCTTATTTGTTAAGGCTGGTGCTTTGCTTGGTACCAAAAGAAGGGGTTGGTGCTTTGGTTCAATGTGGTTGAAAGCTTATACTACTGCTTTGAATTTCCAGGAGTGGCCTGAAGAAGTTTATCCACCGTATGCAAATGGTGCAGGCTACATGGTTTCGTTTGACATCGCAAATTTCATTGTATCTGGGTTTGAGAAACAGGAGTTAAGGGTATGCATCCTTCCTTTTCTCTATTTGGTTAATATGTCATGTTCGTTATTGCCCCTGTTATCATTTTAGTTATTCTCATGCTTTTGAGTGCACGCACACGAGCATTCAAGTTACTCATCATCAAACTGATAATCTCAAGTAGACTCCTGATTACATTCTATGCATCAGCTGCGGTAAAGCAAATGAGTATTTACCTGCCTGTTCATGAGAACTGTGTTTTTTTTAATTATATGCAGCTTTTCAAGATGGAAGATGTGAGTGTGGGTACATGGGTTGAGCAATTCAATACCACTACGCCAGTGGAGTATGTGCATAGCCTAAAGTTTTGCCAGTTTGGATGCATAGAAAATTATCTTACAGCCCACTACCAATCTCCTAGGCAGATGCTCTGCATGTGGAATAAATTGCAGCAGCAGGGAAAACCTCAATGCTGCAATATGAGATGATACCTGGGTCATCGTAGGAAGATAAGGCATTGACTACAACAACGGTTCTGAGAAATTTACCTTGATGAACAAGGGATCAAGGAAGTTTTTGCAGGTATAGAATCAAATCAAGCTGTGTAAATTTTTGAGAAGCAAATGCAATATAGAGAAAGAGAACTTTTCTGGGGGTTGTATAATGTGTTAGAGGCCCTTCAAAAATTCGGTGATTTTACGCCCCTCGTTCGTGTTGATGAAGAAGGGAAAAGTGGAGGTAATAGGTTGATGCCTGATGGGTCTTATGCAAAAAGTAATTTACGCTACCATATATAGACACCCTTTTTGTCCTGTATAAAATATCATAGAATGGCAAGAGAAAGTCAGAAAGAGGAGATTCCAAATTGCTTTTGCACTTGTGGGAAATGGCCGTTTTGCTGTTCATTTTTCTCTTCTCCTTATTTCTTGTCTGGCAATGATGGGAACCTTTTACCATTATGATTCGCTTGAACTGTGATAAAGATTCTCTGGCTCATAGGATTTTTAAAAATAAAAAATAAAAAAAAAGGGTTCAAGTAGTGAAAAGATCGTGGCCAGACGCTCTAATCATTAAGTCAACGATTCATTCTCTCTGAATTACGGTTAATATTACCACAACAGAAACATGTGTAACGTTGGGGTCTGGTGGATAAGTGTACGTTGCTTTAACTACATTTAAAAGATGAGATATCATTATAAAGTGAATAAATTTGAACGTGTAATTATATTTATTCATGTACTCTGAATGAGATTTATTTGCCAATTGGCAATGTACCACCAGACAGTGACAACTAGAAATGACGCAAACTTTACACTAGTGGAAAGTGATTGGTTACTCTATTGGTTGGTCAATGGAAATATGGAATAGCATTAGGAACTGTTAATAAAAGTATTATTATTAGTAACCAAAGTGGTTGTGGTGGGGTGGAAGGGACTCTTTCACCCTTAACCATAAGTCGAGGGTTTGAACCTCGTCATGGGCATGGAGCAACCTTAAATACTTTAGCCGGTTATCCCACCCATCGAGGTGCCTACAATTTCGCGAGTGAAATACGGTAGACACCCTGCAAATATGAAAAAAAAAAAAAAATTATTGGTGCGATAAATAACCCTTCTTATCAATTCACATTAAACGTTTAAAAGTCTTTTTGAATAATCTGGATATATGAAAGGGATCATGAATTAGATGCCATAAGTTTTCAAACTCTTATTTTCTTAAGAAAAAGAAAGGGTCAAATTTCTTTGTAAACTTTGAATCAATTTCATTTGCTTGTCCAACAAACACATCAATACCTATAGGAAGTTGCTATAATTTTGCCCAAAAGTCCCACCATTTTTTTTTTTTTGGTAAATTGCATTGCTATCAAAATTGCTTTATGTACAATCCTATGTTATGCTATTACAAGTATAACTATTTCATCATAATACCAATACCACTTTAGGACTTATTGATTTTCTTTAAAAATTTAAAGGACTCCCTCTGAGACTTTCCCTGTTTTTCTTTTTGAATCATCCACTCCGTCACCTGATGGTCTTGGTATTTCCTATGCTCAAGATGATTGTCCATCGATTTTTTATTATTAGTAAAGTTTATTATAAAATAAATTCAAACTATGAATAAAGTCAACATGGCTTCGTGTAGAATTCAACAGTAAAAACAAAGTGAAAATAGAGAACACTCCAAGAAAAGCAACTAGTATTATCACCGCCTAGTAGTGTGAATAATAACAGAAGCACAAATCCTGATTTTCTCTTCTTTTTTTTTTCCATTACAAATATTCGTTAGATGGGTTATTTTACACCGACCGGATAAGAAACAGTAAAGAGCTCCCACAGTACAAATTTCTCATCCAATCTCATTGTGTTCTTTCTCAAATGGAAAATGTCCTAAAAAAATGACTAAAGAATCTACATAGTTTCTCAGCATCATCAAGTAAGGGTACACATTCTTTTAATTGCATGTTGGGAGGGTGGGTGGCAGTTGATTAAAATCTCCAGAGGAAGAACTATAGTACTGACTTCCTTTTTTGGAGTGAACTTGCCACCATTGATCTAAACAGCTACATATATCATACAATCAGCTTCTCCAAGAGAGAACTAAAAACCACTTCTCGGGCGGAAACCAAACCTGAACCCTTTTCAGAACTCATCTCCATCTTCATCTTTCATCATAGAGTTGGGGCCATCATCAAAGCCAGAACCAGGGGCAAGCTCATTCAGATCAAGAAAACGTCTTTTCTGCACTCCCTCACCGTCAGTTTGCCGTGGGCTATCTGCTTTCTCCGGCAGATGGTTTTCCTCTTGCTTAACGGTATCTGCATCTGCTGGTTCGTCTACCGGCTGATCAACTTTCATCTCCTGGTCATCTGTGTTATCCTCAGAATCTTGACTCGCCATAGAGAATTTATCTGCATCTTCGCTTTCATTGGAGTACTCAGCTACGGCCTCTGACTTCCCAGGTTTTGCTGATTCAGTTTCAGATTCTGAAAGTTCATATTTTCGATAGTTAATCTGGTTGCGCGTCGCCCTGTTACTACGCCGCAAACCAAACTGCAGGTCACCAACTGATCTCAACTTAGTTTCCCTCCTAGTGCGGCCTGGCAATTTCTTAAACTGTTGGCGGCCATCACTCTCTTCACTAGCACTTAGCGAATCAGCATCATCATATTCTTCTTCCTCTTCCTCTTCGGGATTATCATCATCATAATGGTACTCATCATCACCTTCTGAGCTGCTAGACATTTTCCGCCTCTGTTTTCGTTTTCTCAAATACTCATCATCATATATCACTTCACCGACTATGTCATCATCACTATCAAAATCTGCATCATTATCTGAAACTGCTTCAACGAACTCTTTTTCAGAATACCTTTGAGGCCTCTGCCTTCGTCGGTTGCTACAAACAGCAAGAATCCCATCTAAGACTTGATCTCAATGTGGATGAACATGTATTATCACAAACAAAAGTAGAAAAATCAAAGAAGCATTACCTGCGATCAAGATGATCTGCCCCATTATCATCATAATATCCATCATAATCAGATTTTGGAGAATGCTCATTAAAAGATACCGAAGGACCACTGCCCCATCTCCCATTCATTTGAGCTTCATATCGCAAGCCTTCCCTCCTTGTGGTCATGAATTCCAGAGGTGAGGGTTGCTTTCTGATGTACAAGAAAATCAGACGAACCATGAGATGCTGAAGAATAAAGATACATAGAAGTCCAGCATAAAGAAGCTTTGAGAAGACAAAGCACATACTTGGTTATCTTGATAGCCTCATTTATAGACCTATCGTAATCATCTGCAAAGCATAACAGGCACTTAAATTTTGAACGCACGAGGGAGAAATGAAAATACTTTTTGACTCTGAAAAGAATTATATGGAAGTTACAATCCACACACATCAAGTAGAAATCGGTAGCTCAGATTATAATAGATTCACCAAGAAATTTATTTATCTTACCAAAAGTATATGTTACAGGTTTTCTATCACGAAGGGAACGTCCAGCAGCAAGGCCATCCATATTCATCATATTATCAAGCATAAGAGCCTGTCTGTGTTGCTTCTTCAATAACTTCTCTCTCTTCTGTAAAACCAAGAGTTGAGGTCAATCACACTGGATACATTGGCATTCTATGCCACAAACAACATTATTTTGCAAACAGCATTATGATTCTTTATTTGCAGAGACACCACATGGTTGAAATCATAAGTAATAAGCAATATTCAACGAGGATAAAAGCAAATTTAGGAAGAAATCCAGAAGATAAAAAACTAGAGATACAGATCTCTGCAGTGCACTACCTTGTGGACCTTCTCAATTTCAGGAAGCATATCATTCTTTAATTTCTTCCCAACTGAAAACTCTGTTCTATTTTTACTTGAAAACAGCTTCTCCTGCACGTAGAAGGTGTTTAATTTAAGGGAAAAGAAGAAAAGAAATGGAGTTCAACAAAATTATCTACTATTTACAATATGCTTGAATAAATAGGAAAAAGACGCCTAGCCTTCCCCCTCCCGTTTGCATTTTTCCATACTATTGCATATCCGTGTTTCATTTTAAGTGCATCTCAGAAAGAAACTTAAGCAGAAGAGAGAACAATCTTTATAACAGTGTTTAGAACAAACAGCAACAAAATTTCAGCGGAGTTACTCAAGGAATCATCCCGGTAATTTTCTTCGGCTCACACATGTTGAAAAAAGAGGTAGTAACAAGCTTGACAATAAATTCCAGCACTCTCTTTTAACTTGTAAACACCTAAGATGGTACTATAATAACTAGGAATGAGTGGATTCTTAAGACATGTTTAAAAGCTATCTACCAGAGATATTGGTTACCTATCTGGACTTTTTCAATGCAAAAGAGTTTACTTTTACAAGAAGAAAACGGATGCTCAAGGCTAAGTTATTCTACAAAACAAAAATCTTTTCCAAATGTCTCAATATCTAGAGCTCTAGAAAAGAACATCATCAGAATGTATGTCGTATGCATGGACAACATTGGGTTAGCTTCTAAGAAGCATCAAACTAGTCACCCAACATTCTTGTATTACACAATAATCTGTTATATATTGCTCAATTTTCAGAATTATGTCCAACTTCCACAGCACCACATTTAAAATGCAATTTGGAGTAGTACATCTCCGAACATCATGTAAACCTATGTGGCTTATATTCTATCACTCCCTAAGGGTGAAAATACCCTAGATATTCTAGGTTTACCCAGCTCAATCATATGAATTTTACAGTGGGTAGTTATCAATATTTTAAAACTTGTGATCCCAGATGATATAATTCTTAAATGCCACCAATGAATTGATCCCTCTAATACTCCTGCAAGTTACCATATCCTTGAATAGATATTTCTCTGAAAACTCGCATAACATATATCTAGTCCATGCATCTGATAAAACACTACTACCAAAACTTACGACTTTGTATGGCCCATTAGATCTGAACATGCCTATATATACGAAAAATTGACATTCGGTTACAGCTGCAATAAAGAACCATGAAATGAATATCTGAATAGATTCTCCTCCACGGTATATACCAAGGGTCACCACCAACTTGAAAGAAATCCGTTTGAAAACAAACATAGATGCTTTCATTTGTAAGATCAGATTAGTTTGAATATTCACTCGGTTACAGGAGCAAATCACACACATGTCGTAAATAAGAGGAAATTTAAAATCTGAAATTAACGCTCTTGCTCAATAAAAAGACCTGGCTACATTCTGCATTCTGCTCTTTACCCCAATCATCAAAAAGGTACAGACGAGCAGATCAGATTTTACGTCCCACTGTGTCTTTTAACCCTGGGTCAACCGCCAGTAAACAAAGGATGACCTACCCAAATTAAAAAGTTCACAACAGGAAAGAGCAGCTTAACCAACGTGTGCATTTACCCATATGAGTAAACGGTACCCGGCCTCAAATCCGTCGTGGGTAAGGAAGAAGTTTAATGTCATAATATTTCAAAATTAAACTGTGCCAATAAGACTATGATCTATAACTGACTACTCAAGATGCAACGAAAGCAAACTAACCAGTCAAGCAAGCCCTTCAGAATATTTCGATGTTAGTTAGATTAACAACTTATTCAAACATGGATCACAAATCAAATACAAGAAGAACATAAATAGCGAAAGCTACAATTTGATCAAGGCTAAAGCCCCTTAAAAGGAAACTTCAACTTTATAAAATTTCCTTTTGAATAGAAGAATAATCCTCATAAGAAGACAGACCAAAAGTGAAGCCTTTCTAGCAAGAACCAGAAGCCAACGCAGATTTATTAACAATACTCTTATGTTTTGGATCGTTTCTATCCCTCAACTAACTCGAATGCTAGGACATAGCTTCACATGGGAAAAAAAGATTTATTTGGAAAGTGTTTACTCCCCTTCCCAGCATATTGATGTCTTATACATTTCCTTTTGGTCCATCCCCACGTGAGTTATATTGAATCATCATTATTGAGAATTAGGTCAACCTTTAACATCGTCCGTTTCTCACTGAGATTTAAATTCAGAGGCATCATCAAAATGGACACTAAGATGGTTAAAGTTGAAATCACAAAATATCAGCATTCTCTTTTGTTTCCTTTTTATTCGCTACTTTCCATATCTACTTTTATATCTTCGAATTTTATTTCTTCCTTGATCATTTTACAGAGGACAAAACAAAAAAGAAAAATACAGAGTCCTAGCTTGGCTTTCCAGGAAGTTTCTACAACTAAAAACTGCACCTTACAAATGGATTAAGATGGAGTTTTTTCAACCAACTTACAGGAGAATAATGTTTTCAGTTATTTTCTATTTTTCAGTCCATCCCATTAAGGACAGATTTCCGAGGTCTTTGTCTCTTTCAACTCATTATTGGTTACTTTGCAAAATATGTAATCTACAATTAGGGACTTCTACGCTAACCAACACCTGAATAGGTCTCCTTCACTTCTCATCATTCATTGGACATCAGCAGGCCACATGTGCCTCACAAATCTCAAGCCTAACTCTAAACACCTATCCTGTATTATATTATGATGTATCCCTATCAACCAAACACCTTCCACGAACAGAGGATGAAATAAAGAAATTACCCATCTAAGTTCTCAATTCCAGAACTGAACAGAAGACCAGCCGCAGAAAAATCATCATCTCAATGTATCCACAATCTTTATTGGTGGTTGAATTGGGGAAACTATAATGGTCAGGTAAATACTAGGTGCGGAACTATGAGCATCATTGAAAACAAAGCAGGTCGAGGGTCAATGGGTCACATTTTTTATTTTCCACCTCAATTAGTTGCAGTCCGACCATTTCTTGGGATGAAGTGGAGGTGGCGAATCGAAGAATAGCAAGCATATTAGCACTAATAGTAATCACAAAGACAAATGCTAACATCTAAGCACACTAGAAGCAGCTTAACCACGGATGCACCGACTCGGAATAACAAGGCAGCAGCATGGTACAGCCATACAAACCATGACAACTAATGAGTACTCAATATTCTCATTTATGTTTGCACCAAATCAGGTGGTTGAAGGAGAAACCAGCAAATTTCAACAGCATAACTTGGGAAGTTATTCTATTTTGTTTTGACTTTTCAAGGAAATTAAACCATGCCAATAACAAAGTTGCCAAGGAAATATAAGCAAACATTCACCTGGCTCTTTACCAAAAAATGGAAAGTGCAGGAACATATCTTCAAAATGCTAATAAACAAAATAAAAGGCTGTAACAAGTATCTCACAGAAACATCTTGGAATTCATCAAAATTAGTCGCGACTGTCTCCCACTGGTAAGATGAACTAGGAATAGGTGGTATGTTTCTTCCCTTCCCTTTCTTCACTTCAACTTTCCTAATCTCTCGATATAGTCGATGTCCTACAATAGGATCATCTTCATACCTGTTAAAAGGAAAAGTCCAGCGAGTAAGACTTCAAAACAGAATGATTATACCTACGAACCAGAGACGATAATGAAGTATGTCAACAATAATATGGGAAAATATTCAGATAACTCAGAATGAAATAAATTACCAATAAGAGACTCCATGAGAATCACCACCAATACGTTCTTTGCGGAATGATGAAAGATGGATACCATGCTTTATCGAGTTGTCTATGTGGTTACGAATATCTTCTTGCTGAAAAATATACAAGCAATCAAATGGAATCCAACAAAGAACAGAAAATATACTAAACAAAGAGATAGGCGGAATCCAATCAGTGAAGTCTCTCTTGAAGCATCAACCTTAAAGGAAGAGGACAATTGGAATTCCATCATGCATATATGTTGCATTTATATTAATAACATATAACTAGTTCTTCCTAACGAACTCTTGGGGGGGGGGGGAATAGATTTTCAAAATACACAATCTTATCCATTGCAGATATTGATAAGCTTCACAAGTTGAACCAAAACAGTTAGCATGAAGCTTTTGGGAGCAACACCTCAAGCCAAAGATAATTGCACCCTAAGCACTCAACCAGTTAGACTCAAAAATTAAGTAGCTCCTATTAAGCATACAGAAGCACGGAAGTAAAACAGTTCAACGGAATTAATTGGATTTGAACAGGCAAACACAATACCTCCACACGTATATCACATAGTGCTTTCAATATTATCACACGAACTGAAGGTTCAAGTGAATTGTACGTTTCAATTTCAGTCCTGGGAAAATGAAGAAAAATACAAGCATTAGCTAATCCATGGTCTTCCCACAGCCATAAATATGAAAAGATCCTTTGCACCCCAGGGACTTCTAAGATATTAAAGTACTTACCCGTGAGATGCAACAATAGGTAACTCCCCTTCTGCAACCTGTAACGAATAATCTACTTTAGTGTGTTTAAAAAGAGATACTATCAGTTCATCTTGCGAACGTACTCAAACAACTAAAAGTACAGTACCCAGAGCCACCAATCACGTATCTTTCTGCAAAGAACTGTCACCCATGTATTGTGTCCAAGGGCCATCCGAGTAACTGGAGGGATAGACTGAGGCAATAAAACAACAAGACAGTAAGTAAAAATCATCAACCCTAGAGTAAAGAATCAACTTCAAGCTTATTCACACTTTTCGGATAACCAAACATTTAATAATATAAATATCTGAAGTAACATACGACTGAAAGAAAGACTTTGCAAAAGTAAGAATAAACACTCAACTACATTTTAAAGAAAAAAATTCCCAAATACATTTTAAAGAGAAATTCAGAACCCAGGTAATCATGAATTATCACCACCGCTTACACACTGACTAATTCTACAGAGATGAAATTCTTATGCAGCTTGTATTCAAGCTTCTGCGCTGTGAAAAAAAAAAAAAAAGCTTCTGTGCTGTGAAATACAGGAAAAACACACAATCTCATATACTGCAGCTCCATTCAACTCTATTTCCCAATCTGGAAATTAAGTTAAAGAAGCAGCAAAATATTCTCTTAATCATCCAACACTTTTCACTGAATCCGTTCAAGAATGATAATCTTATGATAACATTCGCAACAATGCTCCAAGGCCCTTAGCAACTTAATCTTACAAAAACTTTATTCTCCATGAATTACAATTTGTACTACCACTTTAACAAATTCCACCAGAAGAAAATATAACATTATTAACAGCCAGTTGAATAGTCAAGAGACTGCACAAATCCTAATGCTGTTTGAAGAAAACCGGAGCAAGGCATGTTGAGAGTATATACCAACTAGACAATAGAAACAGATCAACAGCTGAAATAGAAAACCTAGAATATATAAACTCAGGGAGTGGGCCTAGATGAATGACCTAATTATGTATTCACCAGACCGCATCTTCTTTCATATTCCATTAATCCCTTGACACTATATTCCTGTTTTATTAAAGGTAAGACAAGGATAAAATGGTCCAACGACATGATTTTAATCTCCATGACTTACACCTATAGCTTGAAAATTGGTGAAAAGGGCGGCCCGGTGGATAGATGCTCCAGCAGGCGCCACGATTAAGGAAGGAGGAGCCATTATGGTCTAGCATAAATGCCTTCAGCCAAATTCCCATCAGAGGCTGTTTTGTAACCCCAACCCACGAATTCCGTTAACACGGGACAACTCTTACCGCTGTGCCATGGAGAATGAATGGTTATTAACCATGACAAGGTGGTGGTTAACACCAAATAGGGATCAACAATTTCATGAAATTTCTTAAGAACAGTGCCCAGTGACAGGGTGACAGGGATGCTTAAAGAATACACTGTTGGACAGATTATTCGCTAGACATGGAGAACCTGACACATGCTCAAAGCACATATACTTTAGTATTCCAGTAAACCAAACTGCTTGCACATTTGAAAGGCTATTGACAGGTATTTAGCAGAAAAGATGATATATATGATGAATAGCTTGCAAGCTTCTTGCTAAAACGTTACACGTGTTTTCATTAACTGCTGGCCTCTGTCTTAAAAACCCTAATAATAAGCTCAACAAACTAGCAGAGATGCACCGTGCTAAATAACTATCTGATCAAGTCAGCGACATACAAACCAGTTAAAAGCAGAGTTAATTGCTATGTAATGTTTAACAATTCAGGTCAAGAAGCAAGCACATGGCCCAAAAATTCACCCACACCAATGTATCCTACTGCGTATTCAAATTCATGATTTCCATCACCCCAATAGTCTACACATTAACCAGAATCTGAAGCACTAATCCAGGCTAAAGAAACCATTCTGCCTCCCAAAATTCAAAGGCAACAATTTCACAGATCGCACAACACTTCAGAAACACTGCAATTTAGAGTCAGCAAATTTAAACATCACCCCGGTGTGCCACGGAGACTAACATAAATTTATGCAGAATAACAAATGAAAATCAAAAGAAAGTAGAAGCAAAAAAACCTAAGAATTTGAGCACAGGCTCAAGCAGGCATAAAAAGATGCAATCTTTTTACTTCAAATGAAATGCACCAACCTTCAATAGTGGAATGTGAATCTCCGCAAGGGTATTATTTGGTGTTATAAGGGCTGTTTCAAATTCCTCCACTGAAAACTCAACTTTTATATTCAACAACGGCCTAAACACCTGTAAGAAGGAAACATAACACATACATTACAAACAACAAAGACAATCCAAGACCTAACAGACTTCCACTTTCCGACATAAAAACAACCTCAATCTTTTTTTTCGAAACACAGAATAGTTGAAATGAAGGAATAGCTCACATACATTCAAAAAATTCAAAATGGAGGCCAACTGCCACATTCCGCGAATGTTCCACCGAGGCAACTGAGAGGGCTCTGGTTCCCCAACTAAAGGGGTAACCATTTTGCTACATTGCTGATTCCTCCCTGTATTCAAAGGAGAAGCACCATCTTCCCCATCTCCACCCTCTTCATCCTCCCCATCCTCTTCTCCTCTTCCTCCGTCCTCCTCATCCTCGTCCAATTCCTCCCTAACCAACCTCGCCGTCAATCTCTCCCTCCTCAAGGCCGCCTTCTTCTGCCTCTTCTCAGCCGCAAGAACGGCGGCCTCGGCGGCAGCAGCAGCCTGCATCCTCTCCGCGGCCCGTTGGGTACAAGCCCTCGAAGGCCTCTCCCGCCTAACTAGACAACTATTATTGCTAATAACACTACTCTTACTATTGGTATCACTAACTTTGCCATCATTCTGGGCTTTGCTCGACTTTTTCCGAGGTGGGCTGTCGTTATCTTGGGAGTTCTTGCCGTTATTGTGTGAATTCTTGGGAGAATGGATCGGAGAAGGGGAGGAGGATTGTGGGTCGGCCATGGCGAAGTGGGGATCGGAGTGAGGATTAGCAGCTAATGAAGAAGAAGAAGGGTTACATGGGAGATCATGGACTTGCATTGAATTGAAACTCACAGAAAAGAGTTGGGGTTTTCACACAGATTAATTTTTACAGAAAAAAAAATAAAAATTTATGTATTTAAAGAGGAAAAAACAAAACAAACTCTAATTTGAAAAACCCAACAAAATTTCAGGCAGAAGAAAAAATCCCTAAAAAAAACTCGAAGTATTACAATAATGATGGAAAAAAGAATGATGACGAAAATGGGTTAAAGAAATATAAAGAGGGATGGAATTTGATTGACGAATGGGGTTTTTTTCTCTCTCTTTGGTGCTTTTTTTATGTTCTTCTTCTTCTTCTTGCTTCGCGTCGGGGGTTGTGGGTTTGTAGAGACAAAGAAAAAAATCGCTTTACGAAAAGGAGGAATTAGGGGGAAAAGGGGAAAATTGAGGATTTTTTTAATCTTTGCTATTATTTATTTTATTGTTTTTCTTACTTGTTTGTGTTTCATAAAGAGTATATATATATATATATATATATATATATATATATATGACCTGAAAACAATAGAACATGTTATACTAAAAACTGTAATAATTAAAAATATAGATTTTATCAACCGAGAACAGGCTAGACTGACATATGATTCATATAGCCGATCTCACGTAATGGGATAAAGGATCCGGGTTTTGTTTCTTTTTTTGAAACGGAGGATTCGGGTTAATGTCATAGGGTTTATGGAGGAAGTTACTGTGTGAACTTTTGTTGATGGACATCTTCATATGCTTCTGAGAGAGGAGGAGGAATGAGATGGCATTTTGAGAGAGAAGTAAGTCTTTTAAACGACACCGTGCTGGAAATTTGGAAGGCACTTTTGTTGTTTTGTCAAGCTCAAGTATTTTATGAGAAAGAGGCATTCGCCTGAATGTTTTGACAGTTGAGGAGTGAGGACTGCCTTGCGAGATGGGAACCGAGACAAAGGTTTTTTTTTTTTTCCTATTGGTTCACAAGACAAGGGTCACGTATGAAGAGAGAACCCTAAAGCGATTTAATTTTATTTGCAACGTTTCAGTATGTATTTTTAAATAAAAAAAAATCAGTTTGAATCTGGAGTAGTTAGAACAATAATTTTAAACATCAAATTTATAAGATACCCAAAAAAATTTTTTGTAAACTGTACTTTTAATTTATTTATTATTTTGACAAAAAAAATTCAACATCTGATGAATGAGTACACTTGGTGGAGAAATTCAATTAATTAGAAGAATTTTCCCTTTACCATAAATAAAGGGTTTAAGTGTTATTTTTAATTTTATAATATGTATTTGATAAATTATCATGTGTCAAAGTGGTTGTCATTGGTCGATCCACCGGATGAAAAAGTTTATATCCTTTGAATTTCATTTTCAAATAGAGTGATGAAGTGTTATTTTAGGGGTATAATTTAAAATTTACCTAGCCGACTGCCACTCGATAAAACTATGATTGGTGCGGATTTTCTTTCATCTCTTTCACAAATTCAAAACAAAAGGGTACATGAATTGTGACCTTTTAAGTTAAAATTTTCATTTTCATTTCACCATTTATAAGCGGCCTGAGTCAATTCAGAAACTAACTATAATTAATACATTTTAACGTGATTCATATGATGTGATTATCAACTTTTCTTAAATGTTTTATCATGAAATAATAGTGTAAAGAAGTGATTAAAACACACAAATCAAGGTCAGTGTCAACTAGTAAAAGTTAAGAGTTTTCGTTATTGAGCCTAACATCATCTTATCAGTTGCAATGATAACGGATTTGGGTTTAAACTCGTCAATCGCCATGTAATCATTTGCACTTAATTTATAATTAGTAGTTAGTACATTTTGTCTTATGATTTCTTGGTTCAGAAACAATAGTTAGTGCATCGTCCTATAAGAGACAAAACTCATAGGGATAATGTATCCCTTGATATGATTATGATAGTCATAATTCCAGAAGCAAAGTTCATCCACCAATTCAGGATGATAACTTCAATTGCCACTCCAAGGAAAGATGCTAACAATGTACTCCTTCAAAGTTGGCACCACATCGAGTATTAACATTCAACCGACTTACTATAGAGTTCACTGATCCAAATAAAAAAAAACATTATCATTATATCGAAAAAGACTTGACTCAATAGTTTCATTAATGGTTTGCTACTACATAACATTACTATTTCTATCCATGTGATAAACATTGTAGTATTTGCATAACTGACGGTACATAATCTTTCCAATTTTGACCTGCAATGAAAATTATCAAATCTGTCCCATGATGTGTGCTTTATAGATCACATCTTTTAGTGTTTAATCTTTGGTAATCTTTGGTAATCTTTTGCTCTCAAAACTGACCAGACTAGAACAGCTACAAAATGACTTGAACACAATCAAAACTGAATCATGAAACTGAAATCTAGAAAACAATATGACTGACCCAAAAATTGGTTTCTTCTCAGATCAAGAAGTCGCGTATCCTGGATAACGTAGTGTGGCATTCTATACAGAGCTAATTAGAAGCAACAAAAGAGCAGAAAGTAGGGGCAACAAGTTCATCATATACAGGGACGATAGTTGGCGCGCTTCTGAAGGATGGGATGAACCAGGACTAGGAGATGCATCAGGTGAGGTGGTTTCTTTCAAACAAGCATATTTGCAGCGACTTGGACGAACAACCCTGTATACGCCAGTTCTAGCAAGGAGGTAAATGTCCTTGTTGTTATCCTCGCCGAAAGAAAAGATGAGGTTCAAAGCCGGAAGTGTACTTCCAGGTACCAAGTCACATTTTATAGGAGAATCAGGAGCACAAGCAAAAGGGATCTGGTCAGTAGTAAAGTTTCCACTGTTTTCTGGGCTTTCAATACCCGCCCACAGAGCGCCTGCATAAAGATCTGCAAAGAGATACCTGCAGAGATATCATCCATAATGAGAAGTTTATTCCGAAAAAAGAACTTACATAACAGGAGTTTACTCTAAATAGAGTTGAGGCTGTGGAAAGAAGAACCACATCATTTTACATTAGTACCTTGGAGGAAAAATGTATTCATATTTCCAAGAGAAATTCGATACTCACTTTCCAAATGTGCAGGGGTCAGTCTCAGACCGATAAAAATATCCTCCTGTGATTGATGCAGATCCTTCTTTTTCATTGACTGCTGAGTGATTATATCCCATTACCGGGAAGATAGGTTTGATAGAATTTGCTGATGTGTTGCCTCCTGGTGAACTTGGAGGATTGTACAGATTAGGGCCCTCATAAGTACGCCATCCGTAGTTTCCATTCTTAGTGATGAGATTCACTTCTTCATAAGAATCCTAATGGTGAATAACAGAAATAAAAGCAGAAACACCATCTGGTTAATGACATTGGAGCAATAGAAATCTTGGTAAAACAAAATTTAGCTTCAGAACAAATGATGAAGGAAATTTTGAATAGAAGATTTGGAGGATTGGTATTTTCTGTTTTGACTATGAAGGATGATCAACTTCTGCTATCTTAAAAGGACATGCCACACATATGTTTCAACATGATTTCAACAAAATGGAGAATCAGAATCATCACCAGATGCACTAGTATAGATTGATAATCTAATTCTTGTATCTTCAGAAGGGGAATTTTCCACAGTTTATCTAACATGAATTTCTGAAATTCCCATAGCTGTTATGTTATTTATAGGAAAAAATCAGTCAATTACATTTTGATTTCAACGGTTTGTATTTGGAAAAGCTCCATTTGATGCTTCAGAAGCAATCAGCTTATGAGTCACAAATACTTGAATCATACTTCAAACAGGATGTACAAAACTTTCTCGTTTCCAGGCAAATTTAGAAAATTAAACAAGTGTGAGCATTGGTTATGGGTATAGATGGGGGATTGTTATTAGCACAAGGTCGAGGGTTATATAAAGAGAAAAGTTTACACTTTGGAACCTAAAAAGATTACCTGTCCTACATCACCACACAAAAAGTATGATGGCCGAGCAGAATCAAAGCTGCAACGCCAGGGATTTCTTAAGCCTAATGCCCAGATTTCTGGTTTCAAATCCTTGTCTTCTGTATAAGGATTGTCCTTGGGTATTGAGTAGTTCCCCCACAATTCAAGCTGACTAATTTCTGTGGCACCTGAAACACATTTGGTTGAAGAGAACAGCAGGTCACTAGTGTATTTTTATTCCCCGTACTCGAGGCATCAAAAGTGACTAAAATGGTTGGAAAAACGGATGATACTCATTTCTGATTCATTTTAAAATTGAACATCACAGGGCAGCAGTGACATGCAAAAACTGGATACCAAAGGTTGTACCTCAGACAGTGGAACTTCAATCATTCAGGAAGTGCTGTATAAGGCAGCAACTCCATGACTGATTATATCAATTATATAGAGAACTTGTTATAAGCTGTGCAATAAACCAGAGCTTACAACAAGTAACAACTATAACAAACCATAGATTTTAACCATCACCAATTATATAGAGAACTTGTTATAAGCTGTGCAATAAACTAAATTATCTATCACAAACTTAATGAAAACCAAACCATAGATTTTGCTGATTGGGTATGAAGATAGGCTCTAGGGTACAAAGTAAAAAAAACTGCTCAGTGACATATTTAGAACAGGATATTAACATTAGGAAACTTTTCCTCGTCTCAAAAGTATGAAGAAACATAAAAGACTTGACAAAGAAATTGCCACATCTCGAACAGAAGGAAGCACACAGGGTATCATAATTATCAAGCTTCACTAACAAAGTCGCATGTGCTAACTGCGTCAGAGTTACTTACTTGGTATGCTATCAACATCGAGTCTCATGATTTTCCCAAGCAGGGATTTCTTATTTTGAGCAAAGTTATATGGATCTCCAACATTTCCACCATCCCCCATCATAAAGTACAAATATCCATCAGTTGGTCCAAAAAGAATCTGGCCTCCATGATGAGATGTAAAAGGAAGACCCATTGTAAATATCCTTCTCACTTCTGATGGCTGGGCGGTTTTGGCCTGAAATTGTGAATAGCCAGTTCATGGATCGGCTTTACAGGATTAATGTATTAGAAGAAAGAGTGCTAGGGATAGATACCATAGAAGGTTGAGATGCTGAACCATTTACAGTAAATTCTGCTATGACACTTGAATATTGACAAGGAGTGGATCCATCATCAGAAGGTAGTTGTGAAGGATCGCAATTCAAATCTGAGTTGCAAGAACATCTTCCTCCGCAACCAGGCCATTTTGTCTTATCACAATTGAACGAAGCAAAAAATCTACCATTTTTCACAAAGTTTGGATGAACGGCAATACCCATCATCCCAAATTCCGTATCAAAGTCAACTTCATCACTTAAATCTAGAAATGGACTGGCTTCATCAAGTTCCAATGAGCCTCCTGAGCCCTGTTTGGGAATAGTTGCCAACCAAATCTTTCCTTCTTGGTTTGAGAAAAAGGCCCGGTTGGAACCGTCTGGATGGGGAACCATACTTAGATAAGAGCCATTTCCGATTTTCTCCAGGCACAAGCCACTGGGGGGTGGTGGAATATCTGTTTTATTTAGAATTACAGGTTCACCAGCAAAACATACTCCTCCATCCTCAGACAGTCCACCAAAAGCGTTGCAGAAATCTGATTGTGACTGCCAAGCATCAGATAACTTGGATAAGTTTGACTTTGCTCCACCTCCAGGTGAAAAGGGCGAATTCATCATCGACACATTCTGACAGGTAGTCCAAACTTTGGCACAAAAGTTGTTTTCTGCTTGGCTTGCTTGTGTTGAATTTGGTAAGACAGTGGAGTTGCAGATAACAGGAACTTGCCAAGGTGAACTCTCAATCCTAAATAACTCTGCTGCAAATGGATCACATCTCTGCAAATGATAGGCATAGCAGAATTCTTTTTAGTGCGGAGAAGCATTTATGATCAATGCACTACATGTAGGATTCTGAAAGTTGAATTCTTCTTTGATATTGCATTAGATTTTTGACACGAAACATTCTCACATCCAATTCAGCATCATCAATGCCAATTATGAATCAACAAATTTGCCATTTTAACTGTCTACCATGAGATCCAAAGCTTTTTGAATAGATCACCAAATGAATTTCAGTTTATTAATGCAACTCAAGAATCAAAAATCCAAGATTTTTCAACTTTTAAGACTTGTATTTGAGTGAGCTCCATTGCTGAGGTTGGGAGATTAAAACCTAACTTTCTTTTAAGGATTGATCCTTAACACATTCTCCAACAACTATTTTTGTTGGAAAAGCTTAAAAACAAACTCCTGCTTCATGTGTTACTCTAATATTCAATTGAAGCGACTGATTCGTGCTTTATTTGTATGAGAATACTCAAGTCCTCTGATGCAACATCTTTTGGTAATAACAATAATAACTACTAAATTTGCACAAAAACCAAGTAGTAGAAATCAGAAATGAACTGCACTTTGGGTTATTAACAGAAACTCACACATAAGGGCAACCAAAAACAGTTGATTTCAGTTGAGAACAGATTAGTTTCATCAAAGGAACAAAGGCCTCAAAGTAACATTCTACATTCAGTCAAATAATCGAACAGAAACTTAATGGCAGTTCATTGCAAAAGGTAAAGTAGAATGCTCTTACCGCACAGAGCAGAGATTGCACAAGGGAAGCACAATTAGGGTCTGAAATATTCATCCCTTTAAACTGATTCCGTATATTCAAATCATCAGAGGAATTGCAGCATGATGATCCATTATAAGGGCAAAAAGCAGCAGAAACGTTATAAGGAAGTGGTGTACCTATTCCAAACAAACAAAATAGCAAAAGAGAAAGCAAAATTAGTCTTACAAAACAATCACTCAATCCATCAATTTCTAAAGCAATAGAACAGTAGAAGATTAGTGACGAACTTGAATCCAAACATGAGGGAATTGCAGAACAAAGATGAAGAACTTCTAGCAAAGTCAAACTGAGGAGCAAACTGAAACAGAACTTCCTGCTGCCTCCCATCTTCTCACTCCAAACAAAAAAAAAAGGAAGAATCTCTGAAATCTTCAGCAGCAGAAAAGGAAAAAATGGTTCTTTACAACATGGGATTCTTCCATTAAAAAAAAAACAAGATCCCAGAATTTTAAAATTGTATTTCAGCTTCTCAGGCTGAAGAACTCTGTCTCTTTGACTAAACAAGCGATTGGCTTCATGTCATTGTCAGCTTCTTTGTACTCCAGCTTCCAGAAGGAAAAGGGTCATTTCTTCAAGATGTCATTTTCTCCTTGCCATAAAAGAGGGGATTGACATTTTTTTGCAGGTCAAACGCTACTGAAAGAGACATTGACATATCCAATTAATCCATGCACATTGCACAGTTGACCTTTTCTAATCATTTTCCATAACCATTTTTTCCCCTTTTCATCTCACGAACAGGAATAACAGCATCATTGAGAAAAACAAGATAAAGTGAAACGAACAAACAACTTAGGATCGAATTGGGTAGTTTAGAAAGTCAATCATTTCATTCATAATTGATAATACAGCCTGTCTGGAAAAGAATTGGCTGGATGTGGATGGTACAAATCATTGTTTAATTAATCAGCAGTAAGCCTTCACGAGTTCTTGGTGAATATTTTAATATAGGAGTGTTGGAAAACCGAAAGCGAAAGGCTACAAGTCTGGCTTTTGGCTTTGGGAATAAGAAATTAAGAACATTCAGAAAAAGCCCACTTGGAGTACTTTGATGACTATATTTGCAGACCGCACTGTACAAAGCGGGAAATTTCTTCTAGTGTGACAAACTGATAATGACTTTGCAATGAATTGTACCATAAAATTGGAATTGGAAAATTTTTTATTCCATTAGACAAAATTGTAGGTATAAATTTAACATTTCAATCTCAAGTAGAGCTCAATTTCATGATTTAAATTTTTTAGGTGGAGCTAATCTATAATATAATATTAATACAAAATGATTTTTGCATATATGATGTGCAATTAATGTAATAGTAAGAATTAACTATTACCCCTCTGTATTTATAATTTTATAATTTTTCTTAAGATTAAAAAATAAATAAACTAAATAGATTCATCACGTGAAACAAAAGATAAAATGGTGGTGGTTGTTTTTTTTTTTTTTTTGCATATTTGCAGTGTGTCCACCGTCGGCAACAGTGGTTAATCCCCTCGCTGAATTGTAGGCACCTCCATGGGTGGGACAGCTGGCCAAAGTATTTAAAGAGGTTCGAACCCTCGACCTATGGTTAAGGGTAGAGGAGTCCCTTCCACTCCACCAGGACCACTTTGATTATAATGGTGGTTGTTATGTGGATTGTGTTGGGCCCGAGTCCCCTCAAATTAGGCCAGCAAAAAGAAAATAAAAACTAAGCCAATTTGGCTTTGGTTTTCTTGACCGGGATGAACAAAACCCTTTGGGTTTTAGTTTTGTTTTTTGATTGCTTATAAAAGCAATGGGTGCTTGTGCTTTTGGTCGTGAGTTCAACCAAAGAAAAGGGCAGCCGCACGTTGGGTTTGTGTGAGAAAAATTCAGCCGTGCTTAGCTTTGTGCGCGAGAAAAAAAGAAAGAAAACTAGGGTTTAGTTTCGGTTTAACTCTCTTTTGGTTAGATCCTTCTAGTCCTACTCTGTGATAGGTGTTTTAGAAGAGTATTGTTGTAGTCCACCTTTGGGTGAAGTCCTGTGTATCCACCGGTTGGTGAAGACTGTTTTCCTATTATTGTGATAGTGGAGATTTGACTGTTGTTACAGTCCCGTGGTTTTTTCCGATTTGGGTTTCCACGTAAATTTGTGTGTCTACTTTACTTTATCAGTTCTTGAATTAGTTGCTTGTTTGGTTGATTGTCCTATTTTATTGGTAGTAGGAAAGGAGTTTTTCTTGGGAATCGTTTCCGCTGGTTTGTTGTGTTTATACTCTTTCCGCTACATCAGTGGCATCAAAGCTACGGTTCGGTAGTTGAGGTGTTACACCAATAAAATGGAAGAGTCATCGGGTGCTGGTACGATGATTAAATTAACTTCATCCGATTATCATATGTGGAAACCTAGAATAAAAGACTTATTGTATTACAAAGATTTGTTTGATCCTGTTCTAGGGGATGAAGGTAGGCAAGTGATATGACTGATAAAAAGTGGACTGATATGCACAGGAAAACTGTTGGTAATATTCGACAGTGGATTAATCAAATTGTGTTTCATCAATTTTCGGGAGAAACAAAAGCTGATGAACTTTGGAAGAAAATCCAGAATATGTACTGGAAGAAGTCCGGCATCAATAAGTCATCTGCGCTGAAATATATTACCAGGTTGAGGTACAAAGATGGTGCTAGCATGAATGAGCACTTGAGTTCGTTTCAGGGTTTGTTGAACCAAGCTGTGAATGTAGGTTTAAAGTTGGATGATGAGGTGCAGGCTTTGTTATTGTTTAGTTCTCTTCCAGACAATTGGGACACTTTAGTAGTGTCAATCAGTAACTCAACCCAGGATGGTATCTTGACCTTTGATCAGGTCAAAGAGGCTTTGATGAATGAAGAAGTCAGAAGAAAAGAGCAGAGTATTGAGTATGAGTCGCAGGCTTTGGTGACAGAAAACTCAGACATAAGAGGGAGAAGTAAAAGCAAAGGGCCACGTGATCGGAATGACAAGTCTAGGGGACGGTCTAAATCTAAAAAAGATGTTGTCTGCTACCATTGTCAAGGGAATGGGCACTTTAAGAGGGAGTGCAGGGTTCTCAAGAGAGAACTAGCAGTGAGAAAAGGTAAAGGCAAGAAGGATGAATCAAGTGATGATGACACTACTAGAGTAGTAACTACCAGTGATGTATTTGTGTACTGTGATGATGATAAAATTAATGTTGCGAGTCACGATAGTGATTGGTTCTATGATTCAGGTGCATCTTATCATGTGACGCCTCACAGAAACTTCTTTACCTCTTACACATCTGGAGATTTTGGTCGTGTAAGAATGGGCAACCAAGCTTCATGCGATGTTGTCGGCATGGGAGAGGTATCATTGGTAATGAATACAGGTTGTACTCTTGTCTTGAAGAATGTCAGACATGTTCCGGATATGCGTCTGAACCTTATTTCCGTTGGTAAACTTGATGATGAGGGTTATCATAGGACTGAAGGTGGTGGCCGTTTGACAATTACCAGAGGAAATCTTGTTATTGCTAGAGGAAAGAAGTTGAACTCTTTGTATGTGTTGAATATAAAGTTGAAGAATGGAGAGGTGAATGCGACTCACAATGCCACCATTGATCTCTGGCACAGAAGGCTTGGACACATGAGTGTTAAGGGGTTGTAGATTCTTGGTAAGAAGCAATTTCTCCCAAAGGTAAAAGGTACTGCTCTAGAACCTTATGTTGACTGTATCTATGGTAAACAACATAGGGTTTCCTTTCAAAATTTTCCTCCATCTAGAAAATCCAGTCCTCTAGAGTTAGTTCATACGAATATATGTTACATGAAAGATAGGTCATTGTGTGGAGCATTGTACTTTGTTACTTTCATTGATGACTATGCTGGAAAGGTTTGGGGTTTTTCTTTGAAATCTAAAGATCAGGTATTTGATGTGTTCAAAGACTTTCACCTTAGAGTTGAAAGAGAGACTGGCAAGAAGTTGAAGTGTGTTCAAGCAGATAATGGTAGTGAGTACAGGGGTCCGTTTGAGAAGTATTGACGAGACTATGACATTAAACTTCAGAAGAGTGTTCTGAAGACTCTGCAGTAGAATGGCGTGGCAGAAAGAATAAACAGAACAATTACCGAAAAGGTTAGGTGTATGCTCTCGAATGCAAAGCTGCCTAAAATCTTTCTGGGGTGAAACCATGCAGACAGCAGTTGATCTGATCAACCTATCTCCCTCAGTTCCATTGGATGGTGATCTACCACAGCGAGTTTGGACAGGGAAAGATGTCTCATTTAGGCATTTGCGAGTTTTTGGTTGTCGTGCCTTTGTTCATATTCCCAAAGACGAAAGGTCGAAGCTTGATGGCAAATCCAAGTAGTGTGTATTCTTGGGGTATGGAAATGATGATTTTGGGTACAGACTTTGGGATCCTGTAGAGAAGAAAGTTTAAAGAAGCAGAGATGTGATCTTCTTTGAAGACCAGACCATTGATGATATGAGAAAGGGCGAGATGTCAGAATGTTCACCTGAGATTCCTGTTAATCTAGATCCAGTTCCTCTACAATCAAATGATTCTCCTGAAGGGGGAGCTGAGACAGAGTAGGATGGTGAGTTTGATGATGATCCTCCTAATGAAACAGAGACACCGCCAGTTTCATCACCTCCTATTCAGCCTAGGAGGTCCACCATAGACAAGAGACCTTCCACCAGGTACAGTGCTCATGAGTATTTGTTGCTTACTAATGGGGGAGAGCCAGAGTCGTATGAAGAGGTTCTTAGTCATGAGCAGAAAGATCAGTGGTTAGCAGCCATGCAAGATGAGATCAAATCCTTGCATGAGAATAACACGTATGACACAGTGAAGTCGCCTAAGGGCAAGAGAGCACTCAAGAATAAATGGGTGTTTAGACTAAAAACAAGTGAGAACAGCTCACAACCGAGGTACAAATCCAGATTGGTTGTGAAGGGATTCAATCAGAGAAAGGGCATAGACTTTGATGAGATATTCTCTCCTGTTGTAAAGATGTCTTTGATCCAAGTTGTGCTTGGAATAACGGCCAGCTTGAATCTTGAGATTGAACAGCTTGATGTGAAGACAGCCTTCCTGCATAGTGATTTGGAAGAGATTTACATGGAGCAACCAGATGAGTTTCAGGAGAAGGGGAAAGAGAAGCTTGTATGTCGTCTTAACAAAAACTTGTATGGGTTGAAGCAAGCTCCGAGGCAATGGTACAAGAAGTTTGATGCCTTTATGATAGGGCAGAGATACCAAAGGACTACAGCTGATCACTGTGTGTTTGTGAAAAAATTCTCTGTTGGTGATTTTATAATTCTTTTACTTTATGTCGATGACATGTTGATTGATGGTCATGATATTGCAAAGATTGCCAGGTTGAAAAAGGAGTTGAATAAATCCTTTGCGATGAAGGATTTGGTCCAGCTAGACAGATCCTTGGGATGAAGATTTCTCGTGACAGACAGAATGTGAAGCTTTGGGTATCTCAAGAGAAGTATATCGAGAAGGTTCTTGATAGATTTAACATGAGCGGTGCTAAGAAAGTCTCGACTCCACTTGCAGGGCATTTTAAGCTAAGCAAAACGCAGTGTCCTAAAAGGGAGAAAGATAAGGAAGAGATGAAAAAGGTTCCTTATATTTCGGCAGTTGGCAGCCTGATGTATGCGATGGTTTGCACAAGGCCAGACATAGCTCATGCAGTTGGTGTTGTTAGTCGGTTTCTCTCCAATCCTGATAAGGAGCATTGAAATGCTGTGAAATGGATTCTCAGGTATGTTAGGGGTACTTCCAGATTGAGTCTTTGCTTTGGCAATGGGAAGACCATGTTAGATGGATATACAGATGCTGACATGGCGGGTGACCTGGATGGTCGAAAGTCTACTTCTGGTTACTTGATGACTTATGGAGGGGAAGCAGTTTCATGGCAAAGTAAGTTGTAGAAATGTGTTGCTTTGTCTACTACAGAGGCAGAGTTTATCGCAGCTACTGAATCTTGTAAAGAAGTACTTTGGTTGCAGAAGTTTCTACAAGAGCTTGGCATGAA